AAGACCTCATGTACGATGCCATGACACGACGCGCCCAGAGTAGGCAGCTCCATAGAGGCCAAGTAGAAGGAAGGGAGCTGGGCTGGGCTGGGCTGGGGCTGGGGAGGACAGCGCGGGGAGGGACAGCTCCTAGGGAGGGGAGCGTGCTGCTTTTTGTGGGGGTGAAAAGGTTCTGAAATTAGGTCATGCCGGTCATTTTATAACACAGTATACTAGAAACCACTCAACCGTGTACTTTAAAAGCTAAGTTTTACACTATGAGAATTATATTTGAAGAAAACTGCTGAAAGTAATAACAGGGCGTTAAGTGTCGTTGCCTTGTGATTGAAATGACTCGTGGTTGGCTGCTGTCTGCGCTGTGACGTACCCTGTCCTCACACTGGACCTTCTCTTACTCAGGCTATCACCACTCCTGCCATGGCGGTCAGTCACATCATGCTGGAGTCCTATAAAAAGTATATTCTAGTTTCTTTGATATTACTCGGCAAAGTACAACAGCTACCGAAATACACATCTCAGATTGTGGGTAGATTCATTAAGGTGAGTTGTTTAAAATAAAACTGATTTCTTACATGGACATGATAAGTGCATCAAGAAATTGTGACGATATAGTCCTGTCGTTTTATTTATAGTGATTTAGCCGTCCTGGCAGCTTCATGTTAGCAGACGGCGATTCACCAGCCGCGGGGGCTGCAGGTCTTCCAGACCAGCCCCGCTCCAGTTCTGACGCATCCTGGTCGCCTGCTAGGGAAGGAAGGGGTGTTTCTCAGGACTCTGTTTGCATGCTTTGGCTCTGGCTGCTCAGAGCTGCAGATGTTTATGCTCCTGTAAGGGCTGAGTTTTCCGTTCTGTTTCTTAATTACACGTTAGCTGATTTGACTGAACTCTGTGCCCCAGTATTGGGGCATCTCAGAGTCTGGGGGGAGCCACAAGCTCTGCTCCCTGGATTTCTGTTTCAGTGCCCCGTGAAGTGATGTCGTGCGGGCTTGAGGCCCTCGTGCAGGAATTGGTAGTTGTTGGGCTGCCACAATGAGAAGAACGTGGACTCCAGAGTCGGGGTGCCTGTTGATGGTGCCCCTAGGACCACCGTGCTCTCTCTGCCTCGGTTCCTCAGTATTCTAGCACAGGGGAGTTTGTGCATAAGATGCTGAGAGCCGCTCAGACTCTTGGTGGGGCCTCAGCTCCTGCGTGTCCCAGGCCTCCTCCTTGCTGGCAGAGGGGCAGATTGTCCCATTGAGTCTGGGCGTGTGTAGGGGAGGGAGTGTTGGGAATCACGCAGAACTGGCCTTCTCTCTTCCCAGAACTTTTCAGTAGAAAAGGATAGAACTTGGGGCCCGCAGGAGGCGTAGTGGTTGGGGCGCTGGACTCCCACGGCTGACTATGGTTCGAAAGAGTATGCCCAAAATCCCAGGGGGAGGATAGAGGAGAAGGGATTGTGGAGTGGCTGTCTCCCCTCAGGAAAGGGTGACTTCTCACTTTCCCTCAGCCTCTCACTGGGAAGTGCACAGGCCTATCATCAAAACCTCCAAAAAAGAAGAAAAGGATGGAAACACTGATAGACACAGGTCGGGTGTGCCTTCCCTGAGTTCATGTGCTTTTACCTGCCGGGACTGTGTTCGCACGGCAGGATTGTTGACAATTAATTACTCCATCTCGAACGTTTGTCCTCGATTTAAAAATTGGCATTTGCTTTTGGTAAATTGGAATTTGTTTTAACAACCACAATATGGAACATGCTTGCTCCAAACACATGTCATTCCGTAAGGTGTTTTGTCTTGTTTTGTTTTTGCACACATTCTAGTCTTCTGAAGGTTCAATCTGCTTTTCCCCCCACCTTTGAACCTTCAGCCTCTTAGCAATGCGTACCACGAGTTAGCACAAGTTTACTCCACCAATAACCCCTCGGAGCTCCGGAACCTGGTGAACAAGCACAGTGAGACTTTCACTCGCGACAACAACATGGGACTTGTGAAGCAGTGCTTGTCGTCGCTGTACAAGAAGAACATCCAGAGGCTCACCAAGGTGAGGCGAGCGCCGCTCAGTCCCGGGGCCGCGTTTCTCTTTTCTCCTCACTCCTCACCGGCGCCGAGGAAGCAGGACCGGGCACGGGCCTAGAGTGTGGCGGGACTCCTCCTAAGAGGATTCTGGCAGTTGGTTTCCTAGGAAGAGTTCGTCTGTGCCTTTGGGTCTTTTCAGGGCTACGGCAGGTAACCTGGGAAGAGCAGCAGGTGAGAAGGGAAAGCAGGAGGCGGGAGCATGGCGAGGCTACGGTGCAGGCAAGCTCTGGGCTGAGTCCTGTGTGGTCCGAACCTGCTGCCGTGCTGCCCGGACCCGTCTGCAGGCCAGGCTATGGCAGCTGCGGGGGACTGAGCCCCAGGATGCAGGCGAGCCATCGTGTTTATGTTCAAGGTGGAAATGACCTGAAGGTCTCCGTGATAGAAAACATGCTCGTTATCAATTGTCCAGGCAGTCCAGAAAAGTAGGGAAGAAATGAAATCCTGCGTGTGCCAGGAAGGTGGGGACTGCAAGTAATGAGGCTCCTGTGGCGAGTAGCTTAAACCAGTAGGACTGCTCTTTCCTCTTGGGAAGAAGGCTTTCAGGGCCCAGCGGCTCACAGCTGGTGACCCGAGTCCAGCCCTGTGCATAGCCTCTGCCCTCGGCCCGCAGGGTGATGGCGGGGAAAGCGCAGGAGCGAGGATAGGGGCTGTTTGGCTAGCGGCAGGAAGGCTGTGACGACCGGAGGACCTCCCCACACCTGGAGAGGAGCAGGAGGAGCGTGGTGAGTCCGGTATTGGTGGAGGTTAGCAGGCCTTAGCCCTGGGAGAGGATGGCTGCTGGGCAGAGAGGGACTTCCTGCCCGGTGTCCTAGACAGAGTAGCTGGAGCACTGGCTGCCCGCGGGAACCAGCAGGGAGTGGGGAGGGTGGGAGAGAGGTGGCACCTCGAGGACAAGCACAGCAAGTCACCTGGCAGCAGAGAAAATGCTGTGACCCACAGGCTGGGGGGACTGGACCTGAGACTAGGCGAGGAGCAGCCTCGTCTTCCCACTCAGTACGAGTGAGAGAACCATCGTGAGTGAATTCTTGTCTCTCTGGACAAGAAGTAGCCTCTACGGGAGAGCTGCGCCCCTGTGACTAGCACTTGGGACTGACGGGAGCTCCCTGTGAGCGAAGGTCAGTACGACAGGGCGCGTGCGGGAAGATATTACATGGCAAGAGCAGGACAGCGCAACGAGGGAGTGGGGCCTAAGAAGGCCCCACACAAGCCGCCAGCTAGCTGTGCCATGGCCTCTTCAACACGGCATTCTGGAAGTGACCGCTCATCCTCTGGGCGGTGGGGCTAGTAAAATGCAGTGTTCTGTTGTGGTTGTGGTAAGCCCAGAACTCAAGTTTGGCCAAATAGGAAGCATCTCTGGTGGTCAGCCCAGGGCTGGGGCAGTGGCTCAGGAAGTCCTCGGTGTCGGGTCCTGCGTGCGCTGGCTCCTGGTGGATTGTGGGATGTGGGGCTCACAGCATTGCCGCGGGGGCCTAGGAGGCCACCATGTGAGGGAGTAGGCAGGGACCATGGCCTTTAAGGATGCCTTAGTCAGAAGGTTGAGTCTTGGATGGGAGCTGCCACACGGTCTCAAGTCCCAGTGCCAGGATAATAAAAAGGGGGGCATCAAAGGTGTCTGTTTTGTTGGCTTTATTTATTTATTTATTTATTTATTTATTTATTTATTTTGCGCCAATTCACTTCTTTACTAGAAAACCAGAAAACTCAAAGCGTGTGAGAAGTCTGAGCAGGCCCGTGCAGCAGCGTCAGCCATGAGAGCTGTGTCTCATGGCCCTGCTGATTGGCTGGCAGTGAGGGGTGACGCCCAGGCTTGCTCGGGATGGACATTGGGGCGATGGCTGTCTAGATTCCTTTTGTCTCTGCGTGAGTGCGTCGACTCCCCCAGCCATGCGTCACGGGTCGGGGCCGTACTCTGCGGGCTGTCTGCTCTGCCCTGTCTGTCCAGTGTGCCAGGGAGCTCTGTCCATGGGAGCATCCACCGCGTCACAGTGACCCGGCGGAGCAGTCCCTTATGTGGACGGGTCATCAGTCCACTCAGCCAGTCCTCTAATGAGGCACACTCAGGCAGAGGTTTCTAGTCATTTTGAAATAGGAAAAATAATAGTTTTGTGAATTTAGAAATGTTCAGTTTTGAGTCCTCATTTGTGTTAAACTACTTATGTGTTTGTTAAAAATCAGCAATAATTTCCATGGCTTGAGTGTTGTCTCAAACTACAGCATATGTAGATTGCTTTGGTCATGGGCTCCTCAGGGATCTCTAGATCAGGGTCTGATGTGCCCCACTCTGAAATGCTGCCGTGAATGTCGCCAGCTACCGTGAAGACAGGCTCCTTCTCTTTGTTCCGAGAAGGGCATTCTCAGCAGGCCCCGGGCAGAGCATGGCCCACACTAGTGCCCCCCAGGTATCACGAGTGTGTAACCTCTCCTGTGTGCGTAACTCCACCCTTTGTTTAAAAATGCTAACTTTTGGGACTAGCACTTAGCGTAATGGCTATGTCGCTGGACTCCCACATAATCGACCGCGGTTCGTGTCCCAGACCCGGTGTCTTAAACTCACGCTGGGCGTGTGTGCGTACGTGCCCAAGATCCTGAGAGGAGAAGGGATTGCGGCGTGACCATCCCCCCTGGGGGGTGATTTCTTGCTTACTCCCTGTCTCTGTCTGTCTGTTTGGCGAGCACACATGCCCTATAGCAAAAACCTCTAAAAAAAAAAATGCTAACTTTGAATTTTGTAGGTTGAATGTGACCTTTTCAGTTTTATTTAATAGACACCAAGCAAAATTCAAAAGATACAAAAATCTTCATACAGGTATACACATCTCAGATTTCGGATTGCAGTTCTTCCAGAGTGGGCCCCCTTGCTTCCTTTCCTCTGCTCTGTAGCGATCCCTCCGCACAGATCTGGCTGTGCGGAGCTGAGCAGGCTCTGTGAGTGGGTGCGGGTGGTTCTGTCTCTGCCTTCGATAAGTACTCTTACAGTACACGTGTACCTTGTACTTAGAAGAGGTGAGAGTGTGGATTATGAATTAGATTTCAAAATTCTTTTACACCCAAACAAATGCTTACTTGAATTCCCCTGTCCGTGAACGGTGTGAAGTCCCCGGTGTGTGTTTCCTGCAGATTGAGAAGCACGTACTCACAGGACTCGTGTCTGTGATCAAAGCAAGACTTCTGGGGCAAGGATGAGCCCATCAGTCCCCCCGGGCCACCGAGCACTTGGCCCTGCACATCCCTCCCACTCTGGAGGCGGTCGCTCAGGCCTCCACCAGCGCAGCGTCGTCCTCGGGCCTTCCGAGCCTCCGTGAACGGATAGGGACCCTCGGTGTGGTCCCACTGTGTTTCTAATAACAAGTGAGAGGGCACATGTTCACATGCTGAGCGCATTCTGATTTCCTTTTCTGTGTTTACATAATCTTTGTTCTTTAGGGTTTTTGCACTTTTGGTCTCTTATTGTTTGAAGGAGATACCGTGGGAAATTAACTGTGGGTTGTTACTCCAGTAGGAAATTAATGTCTAAAACCGCTAGGTCTTAGCCTGACTGATTTCAGGTCATCTTCACGAGCAGAAGCTTACTTTGTGTAGAATGGCGAGGAATTGCCACTGATAGTCTCTCCCCGTCCTTCCCCGGGCTGAATGCAGACCTTCCTGACGCTGTCCTTACAAGACATGGCAAGTCGCGTGCAGTTGTCAGGGCCTCAGGAGGCCGAGAAGTACGTCCTACACATGGTAAGTCTGTTTTTAATTTTTAAAAATTATTTATTTATTATTGTTTAATTGGACCAGAGCGAGACGGGTTCGGGGCGGTGAGAAAGCAAGCTGCCAGGTCCAGGACTTGAACTGCACTTGGCTGTGTGAGAGTCCAGCCTTTACCTGCACACCACCTGCTGGCCCGTATTCTCACTCTTCACAAGAACTACTTCGTGGAGTTTTGTCCTTGTAAACATGACGGAGTGTTCATGACAGGAAAGCTGAGGAGGAGGGCCTCTAAAGCTACCACCGTAGACATTTTGGTCTGTCTCCTGCAAAATGGCTTGGAAGGGCAAGGGCCAGGATGGGTTTTGAATATACTCTGACCAACCCAGACTACCTGACGCGCTCTGAGGAGTGGTTTTTTCTACCAGGGGACTTTTGGGAATGTTTGGGACATTTTTGATTGTCACAGGGGAGGGTCCTACAGGTGTGCAGTCAGTAGAGGCCCGGGATGCCGCTAAGCACCCTGTAGCACACAGAACAACCGGTATGGGGGTCCTGAGCCCCGGGTCAGCACAGCCAGGTGCAGAGACCCCACCTGGAGCGATGCCGCTAAGCACCCTGTAGCACACAGAACAGCCTGGTATGGGGGTCGTGAGCCCCAGGTCAGCACAGCCAGGTGCAGAGACCCCGCCTGGAGCAGAAGGCTGCAGGGGGTTTAAGTAAACACATTGTTGACATACAGTGTATTTAGTGTTCAGCTAAACCAGGCTTGCAAAGTGAAGATGTCTGTGTCACCAACACCTCGATGAGGGACAGAATGTGCTGAACCCTAGCTCTGGGCAGGAGAGTCATGACCCAGAAGCTGCTCTCGATGGTGTGTCACACTGCACTCTCTTCTCCATTTCTCCTTCCTACTGGGATTTTAGGCACACACACACCCAGTGTGTTTTTCTTTCCCTTTTTTTTTTTTTATTGTTATACGACTTTTTGCTATAGGGCGCATTTGTTCATTGGAAAGACAAGAGAAAGTGAGAAGTCATCCCCCAGTGTATGACCACACTGCAATTCTTTCTCCTCCATTCTCCTCCATTCTGTTCTTGGAATTTTGTGTGCACACACATGCAACCAGCGTGAGTTTGAAGCTGCTAGGTCTGGGGTTCTAACTACAGTTGACTTGTGGGAGTCCAGCACTTTAACCACTATGCCACCTGCTGGCCCGCCCAGTGTGCTTTTCAAGCACCGGATCCAGAACTCAGCTGCGCAGTTAGCAATGTGGATCCAGCCACCTTAACCACCAGGCCGTAGGTTGACCCTACCCTGACTTATAACATCCTGTCTTAGTGGTGTCTGTTTGTGAGCTTTCCATAAAAGGAAGCACAGTGTTTTCATGTGCGCGTTGCAAAGAGGGCAGAAGAGGAGGAAGAGGGAAAAGGCATCTCCAGGGGGCATGGTCACCACGCAGTCTCCCTCCCATTTCTCCTTCCCTGTAGGGTTGCGGCCACGTGCACACATGGCCAGCACGTTTTATTCGAGCCGTCAGGGATTCAGACCGTGGTCAGCATGTGGGACTGGGATGTGGCTCCCAACACACAGTGCTTATTCACTGCGGTGTGGAGCCAGCCTGGAGGCTCTTCCCGAGTCTGGCTTTTCGGCCTAGCGTGTGCGAGCCCTTCCTGCCGCTGCGGCAGTTGTGTCTTCACTGTCAGTGCTGCGGTGCTTGCTGGGAGGGTGCCTTCCACTCTGCATAGTGGGCCTTCAGGCTCTCTGCAGTCCTCTGTAGACCGTGCTCCTGCGGAGAGTGTGGGCGCGGCCCCTACTCAGAGGCGGGGCACACAGCTGCTCAGTGCTCATTGGATGGCACCCTCCCTTCCAGACTAGAGGGGACACGCCGGTGTAGGCAGCTCACTTCCACCGCCGACAGACACCCCACTGAGGAGCAGCTCGTTAGGGACAAAATGATCCGTGCAGGACTTGTGATTTTTTTAAAAATTATTTTATTTAACTTTATTTACTATTACCGTTATTATTTTTCAGGTTGATCAGAGAGAGAAAGAGAGAGAGAGGAAGTGAGAAAGCAAGCCACCAGGTCTGAGACTTGAACCGTGGTCGGCCATGTGGGAGTCCAGTGCCTTTAACCACCATGCCACCTGCCAGCCCCCAGGACTTTTGTTTCTGAGGGAGATTTCTGTTATAGGGTGTGTGCGCTTGCTGGAGAGACGGAGCAAGAGGCCATACTCGGGGGCGTGGCCAGCAGTCGTTCTCCATTCTCTCAGTACCTTGGGCACACACGGGCCCAGCGCGCATGTTAACCCGCCGGTCCGGGACTCAGACTGTGGTCAACTCTGGAAGACCGGTGATGTAATTAGCCGTTGCACCATCTGCTGGTCCCGCCTGTGTGGGACTTTTACTGGCATATCAGTTTCTACTTTCTAGACAGATGGAGCATTCGGGACCAGTCACGCAAATCCTCAGTCACTAATGCAAATAAAACACAGGCCTTGAAGCTACCGGAGACTCAGCAGTGGTAAAAAGGTTTTCTTGGGGCCGGCAGGTGGCTTAGTGGTTAAGGGCGCTGGACTCCCACATGGCTGACTGCGGTTCGAGTCCCGGACCTGGCAGCTTGTGTGTGCTTGCGCGCGCTCTCTCTCTCTCTCTGTCCCTCTCTGGTCAAATTGAAATAAATAAGTGAATGAATAAATAAAGTTAACTAAAATAATTTTTTAAAAAAGGTTTTCTTGAAGGACCAGAAAATCCCTTGGGGTGAATGAAAATGTGTTAGGGCCTCACTTTTTTTAATGGTGGTTAAGATGTCTGGATCCCATATGGCTGACTGCGTGGTTCAAGTCCTGGACCGGTCTGCTCGAGAAACACCCTGGGCATGTGTGCCCAAAATTCTGAAAGGAGAAACGGAGAAGGGATGGCGACGTGGCCTTCCTCCATGGGGATGCTGTCTTGCTCTCTCTCCTCGGCAAGTGCATGGGCTGTCGGGAAATTATAAAAACTAAAAAGTATGTTTATTTTAAAAAAATTGCTGGAGGGCACACATGCGAGAGAGAGAGAGAGAGAGAGAGAGAGAGGGAGGGAGGAAGGGAGAGGGAGCAAGCTAGCACGTCCTGGTGGGGTGTGGGTCATGCCATAATACCTCCTCTCCTGCCCCTCTGCTCCGCCAGGGTCTGGGGCACGCACACAGCCTGGGACACACATCAGGGCTGGGATTCAGATTGTAGACAGCCACGTGGGATTGGGCTCTCTTAACCACTCGGCCACGGGCTGGCCAGGTTGTACATTCTACGTTAATGACAATGTACATTTTTTTCAATGAATTGATATTTTAAAACTCAAAGGGAGGGTTCAGCA